GAGTAACCCGAGTAGTCATAAACAAAGCGCTCTGCGGTGACCATAAGCCAAGCTTCCTTCCCTTGTCACTCGACACTTGCACAGCCGATAGCCTCAGATTGCCGCCGATATAGCTCGCTGCCAGGCATCAGTTATATAGAATAGACCTCAAGACTCAGCAGAGGCAGATCAAGGGGAATCTAACCCTCTTCAGGTTAGCAGGCAGAGCAGCTTCTCATTCATTCATGGAGAGGACAGAGACGGTGAAATATGGTACGCATAGCACGCAATGAGGGGAGCAATGGGCCATATAAATGTTCCCATGTGAAATCATATGAGAAAATTGGGACCGATAAATTGGGACCGATATGGGCCCACGATCGGGGGGTGGAACTGGTCAATACAATCCTTACCAGTTCCACCCCCTGATTGCGGGCCCATACCAGTTCCACCCCCCCCGATCGTGGGCCCAAGCCCATACTAGTTCCACCTCCAGTTCCAACCCCCGATCGCGGGCCCATACTGGTTCCACCTCCTGATCCCGAGTCCCCCCTGTGGATGTTAATGGGATGGGGCTAGCTGATGCCTCCGAGGGACATCGACATCGACTTCGGCTTCGAATAAGCGCGATCTGGCACAAGCATCCTGCAGAGTAGTAAAATATCCCGCCAAGGGGACCCCGTGAGAGGAAAAAGAGAGAACTCCGCCCCACCAGCAAGTACTCGGTCCGGTCAGGGGGTTGAAGCCTCTTAATTAAGCACAACTTAGAATCTTGAGACGCAAAGCACTGCACGATGCCCGGGTGTGTCTAGAGACTCGCCCAAGGCCCTGATGCCCCCTGAGGCCCAATGGGTACCTAAGGCCCCCTGTAGACTGTGTGAGAGGAAGGAGGCAGGGGCACATGCACGCTGAGCTATTCTCAATTTTTCTCCCTTGCACTTCCTCCTACCAACTCCACTAGCGAGCATTCGCAGACATGCTCACCAATGGGGCCTCCTGGGTATGTCTGACACCTAGAGACCTGTCCAAGACCCTGATGCCCCCTGACGCCCAATAGGTGGGTACCTGTGGGCCCCTGTAGACTGTGTGAGAGGAAGGAGGCAGGGGCACATGCACGCTGAGCTATTCTCAAATTTTCTCCCTTGCACTTCCACTGGCGAGCATTCACAGACATGCTCACCAGTGGGGCTTCCTGGGTATGTCCGACACCGGTACTGCCTACTACATGCGTAGATGCGTACAAACGCTATGACACAAGGATATCAAAATGGAAACAACATAAAAAAACAGGTTTCAAAAGCGAAGAAAGGGAGAAGGTCTAGAAACGGAGGGGAAATAGCTCCAAAGCAAAGCATGTGTAAACATGCCCATGCAGCGCTCTCTCTGATCGGATTAAAATACAAGGCCACATAGACTAAACACAAATCTCATTTCAAAACCTCACAGCCATTCTCAGACTCAGCTTCTGAGAGACTACCTCCACAATTAGGGCTCACAACCTGCAAGAACTGGCCCTCAAAACTCTTTGTCCCTACGCCCCTCCTCTCTCTCTCTCTCTCTCTCTCTCTCTCTCTCTCTCTCTCTCTCTCTCTCTCTCTCTCTCTCTCTCTCTCTCTAACCCCCTCTTTCACACACACGAACGCAGGCGCATACACCCTTACTACTCAGTCACACGCACACAAAAATGTGCTACACACACACACACACACACACACACACACACACACACACACACACACACACAAATGGATGCACGCAAGCAGAAAACCAAGTACACCTGCAAACAAAACAAACATGCTTCTGTGCATAATATGTGCAGCCCGCTATTATAGACCCCTATGTTTGCGCTTGCCTTTCACAGGACCGTAGAGCCCCTTTTGGCGAAGCAGTTGCACCCCATCCAGGATTTCCAGAGGCTCCTCTACCGGCTCTTGCGCCTCAAGACCTCCCCATGCATCCCTCCTCTGCCACATCTCCTCACCAATTCGTCTGTCCTTCAGCAGCTTCTTGCCATCACCGGGACTACTTCCCGAACGGCAACCACTGTTGGCGTCAACTTCAGGCCTACTGTTGGACGATGCAATGGCTGACCAAGGCCCTCCATATCTTCCTCCGCCCCATCCACTCCTTTCCACTCCCTTGCTGCTGCTGGCTTGCCCACTCCTCCCCAGCTCCCCACTTCCAATTACATCCAATTTGAGCCTTCGCTTCTTTGCGCTGTTAGGAGCTGCATCTCCCCCCACAAAGTAATCATTTGAATGTGTGGGCGGCTCTTCCTTAACCTCTTGTTTCCTTTCGCAAACCCTCTCCCTCTCCCTCTGCCTCTCCCTCTCCCTCTCGATTTCCCTCTCCCTCTCCCTCTGCCTCTCCTGTCTTCCTCTCCCCTCCTCCTTGCCAACATCCACAGCCATGCCACCTTCTTTCACTCCAATCTTTGCCTTGTCCCTGTCATCAACTGCGAAAGACATGAAACCGCCATAGTCTCTAGGTCTACGCGAGCCTCGCTGCCGTTTTTGACTCGTGGATGGGAAGCCTTGAAAATCTGCACCCTTTGGTGTACTGGGACTGGTAATCTGACCCACCCCACGGATCCGGACCTTCGTAGTATCATCAATCCCCGGTACACTTCCCGTCACACTTGCCGCTTCACCCCCAGGTTCTGCGAGAGCAAATAGCTCACTTGCGTTCCCCGCCTTATCACCCTTATCATCTCGCACCCATTGAAACTTCCCCCTCTCGACAACCGCTGCCACTTTCTCTTCCTCTGTGTGAGTTGGCCTCGCTTTGTTATCCTCTGGCCTGGCCCACCCTCTGAACGGATCGGGGCCTGCGTCAACACCTTCGATTTTTGGCACCGCAAACAACCGTGACTCCGCCGACTCCCGATCCCTCAGCCGCACCTTCGTCCGATGCCTCCCAGTCTCCCAACCCCTCTCTATCTCTCTCACTCTGTCGTGCTCGCCACCTCCATTTCCATCCCGTAATCCTTGTTGCTCTGCTGCTTGATTCTCATCGCGTGCCCCTCCCCAATCGACAACTTGGTTTCCCCTCTCCTGACCGAGCTCGCTGTCAGCCGGTCGATGGACAGCTGCAGGATCAGCTCCTCGTTCTCTCTCTCTCCTTCTGCGCCTTTCCTTGTTCGTCGCCCAACGGGCCCCATCTTCGCTCGAGAATCCGCCTGCATCTTGCCGCTCGATATCCAAACTTGGACCTTCCCCCGGGGCCTCGGCAACATCCCGATCGCTGTCCCTCCGGTGTCGGTGCCGACCCTCGTTCCACGATTTCACACTCCTCTTGTTGGTTTTTCTTCCTTCAATTTCAGCAGGGATGACTGCTGCTGGGAGTGCTAAGTCTGCCTCCGGTAACCGTTTATCTTGCATGCCGTCCGACCTCTCACCTTTTCCGACATCGTTCTGAATCTGGTACTCCTCCCACCGATAATCCACTTCCTCCGCCCCTTGGCCCTCTGCCTCCTCAGCTTGGCCTGCTGCTTCTCCATCCTCCACGTCTGCTGGCGCACCATCAACTGCCTCCTCAATCTCGCCTACAATTTCCTCAGAGTCTGCTGCTTCCTTCTTCTCCCTCGCTTCTTGTCTCCTCCTCCTCCTCCTTATCTTCTCCCTGATGACCTCACCAAGGTCTTCTCCATCTTCGATTATCTTCAACCATTGATTGTCGCTCAACACATCAGCGTAAACCACTTCCTTCCTCCTCCTCTTTCCCATAACCCCTCCAGCATCTCCGGCTTTGCCAGTTCTGCTCTTATCTTCGGCTGGTTCCTCCAAGAAGACCCACGATGGAATCTCGTGCTCTTCCATTAAGCGACTGCGGGAGTCCTCTCTTCTCCTCTCTTCATCCATTTTCTCAAAGAATTCAAACTCCCCTTCATCGCGTGCCGCAAGCCGGTTTATGTCTCTTTCCGTGGGAACATCCTTCCCGAGCTTTTCTGTCCCTCTGCGCATGATTTCTTCCAGCATCTCCCTTCGTTCCTGTCAGCAGTGGGACAGGGAAACGGATCAGCAGTGGGTCAGGGATACCAATCAGCAGTGGGACCGGGAAACCGATCAGCAGTGGGACAGGGACAAAATGACACCACCAGCGCAGGTCGTTACAACCATCCGGCCGGAAGTAAGCCAAATGTGACAACATGGAAAACAAAACAGAATCTAAGCCACCAGAGTTGCCCAGGACCACTTGCCCGGCTGGGCGAAAATTATATCAATACAACCTTTGAAGTTCAAAAACTGTCAGGCGGGCCTCGGAAGACGGTGCCAAGGGGCCCAGCGAAAAAGAGGCCCGGCGCGATTCGTTTGAAGGAAAAAAAGTTCCTGTGCGGGTTCCAGGCCACAGAGTTTGAGATTTTGAGGGTGCGGTTTCGAACCCGATGGTCCAATGCGTGGGTTTTCAGAGTTCTGGGCGCGGCGGTTGGGTGAAACCCTTCCCGGTTTCGGTAGCCAAACAGCGTGAAAGGGCAGGGGTGACAGGTTCGAACGGACGCGCTTTGGACCCACATGCGCAGACGCGCTTTCGAGTGGGGTCGTTCGATCGGCAGGGTGGACTCCAGTGCTATTGTGTGTTTCGATTCTGTGTGCGTAGCTTGGCGTTTTCCACAGTGTCATCGTCATTATCGCTTTCGTTTTATTCTGTTCGTTGTGAATGGCCTTTGGATGGCGGCGCTTCTGGATACGCGTCAACGGCTCCCCCCAGAAGATTCATTCTAGCAATATATCTTCTGGATCCGAAGTCAGGTCTGCTTTCGAGCAGTTATGGGTTACAAGTTACAACTACTTACTACCGTAGCTCTCTCTTTCTTTTGTTTTCCTTTTCCTACGAGCAGTGGCCCTAAGGGCCTGGCTCCACTCGTCGCCACTTGGACAAAAGACAAAACATATGGTGGCGTATGATTCCACGTTCGAGCACAAGATTCATTCTAGTTTTGCACATTTGGTGAGTTGTGGAGGGAAGCCCTGAAAATCACGTGGTGAGTTGGCCTGCTACTGCCCAGATAAACACGTGCTCAGTGGTCCCATAACTGCTGAAACACGGACCTTAATGTGAATCTACACCATATATAGTTGGCGTGCTGCTGCCTTGCAATGTGTTTGAGAGCTGCCTCTCTCGCAGTGAATAGGCCCTTGCTAATTATTAGCAGGGGCCTCCCAGATTACCTGCAAGGGCTCTCCAATCAATGTCAAAGGCCTATTTGTTTGCTCTCTCTCTCTCTCTCTCTCTCTCTCTCTCTCTCTCTCTCTCTCTCTCTCTCTCTCTCTCTCTCATCGGGGTTATTAGGGGTGCCATTGGACCTTTTCTTTTGTGGGGTGCCGACAACCCCTGACAGGCAGGTGCCGACCAGGTGACCGGTTGGCTGGTCAGCTGGTCGGCAGCCGACCAGTCAGAGGCCGCCGACCGTCGGGGTGTGCAACACTGAACTAGGCTATGTTCTTCACTCGTATACCTCATGCTACGTATGTCCAGTTCTTCACAGCCGAGCATTGCAGTAGTTCCTTATCTATGCACACGCGCTGGGGGCGCCGTAAGAGTTTTGGGTTGGCACCGACCTCCTCCCATGTCTGAGCACCGCAGCCTCTTCCTAACCCCGAGCAATAGTCGGGAGGTGTACCTTCCCTCCACAAACCCCACCCGTGGGGGCAATCCGACTCTCCACTGGTAAGCCCATAGCAAGGCGTAGGAGGCTGTGGGGGTTCGAATGGAAACCGTGGGAAATCGAACCTACAACCTCCCCAATGCCACTTTCGTGCTCTACCAACTGGGCTAGGCCGCCGGCCCAAAAAGTAGTTCAGTTTATTTTTCTGCATAACATGGTTTTTTGAACTACTCTTTTCTCGTTGCTGCTTTTTTTTTGGGGGGGAAGGGGTTGGGGGGCGGGGGACCTGGCCGCCCATGCAACCAAGGTGTGACTCGGGTGGCAGGGTTTAGATTTCTTAAGGCCCTCGGAAAAGATTCGCATTCGAAAAAAGAGGGTGCCAGGCCCACTGGTGGCTTGAAGGCACCGATTTGCCCGAAGCTAAGTCGGGCTCTTGCCAGTGTACATCGTAAGGCCACTATGGCGCTTCGGGCCGAGGCCAGTAGTGAATGCAGAAGGCCACTACAAAAAAAAACAATTGGACGCTCGTGAGTCTCGGACAGGTAGCTATGCCAACCTAGGCTCATGTCATGTGTGGTGTTGTTGTGTGTGTGTGTGTTGTCAGAAAACCCCAAACTCTCTCTCTCTCTCTCTCTCTTCTCTCTCTCTCTCTCTCTCTCTCTCTCTCTCTCTCTCTCTCTCTCTCTCT